CTTAAGCAACGTTACTCTTTATTTTAAGATATTTGTGCATACCGACTTGCAGTTGTATCTTGTTTTACCTGTTACAAAACAAGGGCTAACCTACGATGCTAATGAGTATGGTTTTACGCCGCTTTTAGCAATATTCCAGCAATATCACGGCGGGGGACACCAGAAATGGGCTTCACACATTGTACCCATGTGAGGAATCGAACCCGAGTCTTCGGCGTGACGAGCGAACACTTTAACCACTAGGCTACCCCACCGCCCCCACGATGCTAATAATTAATGTTACAGAGACAATGATAATGAAATAAAACCTGCTTGATCACAACCAACAGCGGCATAATCTGTTGAACTGAATAACAGCACGTTAAAGTAGATAACCCGATTACGAAAACACGTTGTATCATGTTAAATTAAGACTGGAGAATTTAAAAAATATATAAAATATATTTGAAGAAAAACCCAAACAAAAATGGATATGCGTTTTAGGGAAAATAACACCCCTGTTGGATTGAAAGCGGCTATAATAACCAAATAAAACCCTGGATTCTATATAGATCTCTGAACCGTTCCTCTGCTAACATGAACCCGCTTCTTAAATTATTGAAATAACGATCATTGAGTCATTACGAAAAATCTAAAATCAATATTCCAAAACTTTTAACATCGTAATATGTCCTGTCGGGGAAAAGAAACGTGTATTCTATGCTGGCTGAAATAGAAGAAACGAAAGGTATATTCATTAGTGAAGGATTTGATCCGGGTATCTCTGTCATATTTTAGACTTTGGGTCTACGGTGTTTTGGCGATTGTTTTCTGCCTAGTAGCATTTTGAGAACGTCTGAAATGGTTTAGCCAAATCAAATTTTCAAAAACATACTTTTGTTTGATAGATTAGCATGCCAGGGCATAGGCTAACAACTGGTATCTTAAACGAACATATTAAACCGAAAAAACAACAGTTCATAATAAAAAATAACATCTAATGAAAAGGAGCCCTCAGACTTTCTTCATTTTCAGATTGTGGAAATCTAGATTTGCCACACGTGCATGGGCTTTCTTAGATATATTTGTTTCAGGGTCCGTATGACAGACTAGTGAGTGAGTTTAGTTTTACGCCGCTTTTAACAATATTCCAGCTATATGGCGGCGGTCTGTAAATAATCGAGTCTGGACCAGACAATCCAGTGATCAACAGCATGAGCATCGATTTGCGCAATTGGGAACCGATGACATGTGTCAACCAAGTCAGCGAGCCTGATCCACCCGATCCCGTTAGTCGCCTCTTACGATAAGCATGGGTTGCTGAAGATCAGTTCTAACCCGGACCTTCACGGGTATATATGGCAGACTAACCAGGGCACTAAGTTGAGAAATCAGAAAAACGCAATTTGTTCGTTTTGTGTTTAAGATAAAACAACTGTTGATTGATTTCGGACTGACTGGTGTTAATGAGTATCTGATACGTGGAAATGTTTCTTAGAACTTAAATATTTTCCGTATATCGACAAATCAATAACACCCTCATACCTAAATAAAATTGACAGAACACTTCCGATACTCATAAGAATTTCTGTCAAAACAGTGTGACAGTGCACAACATATGATTAAATTCTTTATATTTGTATATTTTTCTTTATGTATATGTTTTGTGTATATTTTCCACAATGTTCACTTTCATTCTAAACAGTAACTAATATTGAAATATTACTTTAGCTATCCTTCTTGTTATGGCTCAAGCTGACGTAACGCACTTTGCAAAGACAATTAACATCAGAGACCATATGGTCTCTGTTAACATGAACCATATGCCATTGAAGTGCCTACTTAAAACTCAGTCTATTGTTTCAAGCACCAGCACATTACTCCAGACCACAGCTGTTCAAACGAATCGTAATAAGTCTGATCTATTGAACGCCAATTACCAGTCTGCCATGGTCATGTCACATATAAGCTAAAACTAATTAGACTAGAGCTGTAAAACAAACCGTAATTAAGCTAGTCTAATTATCCTGTCACGGTCACGTGACTACCCTTCAAAAAAAAACCATTTGTGCCTATCCAATCAGTTGCTATTAGTAAAAGTACCTTACCTATGTCAACCAACCAAAACTCGTAATTAAATAACCTATTATATGTTTTGGCCAATCACACAAAAATTCCAATATGGATCAGTGATGTTTCGACTATAAAAAGAGGTCAGTGATTTCCTATCTAAACACTTGACCTCACAATAAATATTGAAACATCTCCTTGATTGATCATTGTCCCAAGGAATTCTCCATTTAAGGGTTATAAATTGTTACCCTATAAAAAACCGGGTAACAGCAGGGTAGAGAGTGAAATGCGATTACATCATCAGCATGTATTTAGGAATCATTATCATATAGCGATAATATCAGGCATCCGTGAAACAGTGAGGGTATCCTGACGATATCTTCAGTTTAATAATTAAAAATTCAATAATAGGGAATACACCACCATACCCCCAAAATTAGTCTCACAGTCCCTGAACCATATTAATTTCCCTACTGCCAAGCCCTCTCTGCAGTGCTAAAGCCCTAAATAAAGCAAGTCTAGATTTCCTCAGGTTCTGAATCTCTGGTCTCCCTAGGGCTTCTTTTCAATATAAATTGGCTTGTTTGTTACTATCAAAATTATATATATTCAGAGACTAAGCCTTAGTCTACCCCAAAATGTAAATGGAGGGGTATTAACTTACCATGAATTTAGAATGAAAACGCTTAAAAACATGATAATAAAATAAATAGAAATCAGTATATAAGACCCAGTCACCTAGATTTTGTCTCAGCTGTGGCTGGTGTTAAGCGATCAGAGTTTGTTGTATCTCTCAGAGAGGAGGCGACTAGTGCTGCATGCAGGATTTCGGTCTGGTAGTGTGGAATACTGAAAGGGTGTTGTTCCAAGATGTGGAAGCAAATTGTCAACAATTGGAGATTTCACCAGCACAGTTACTGGAGAGCACAATCACGGGCTCGACAATCCAGCACAATAACTTCATAATTCACTTGCTGTGTTGGGTATATGATATATTGTGTAACTCGGTATATGTGTATACTTGAACTCTTCCACAACAATGACCTATGTACTTAACTGAATAAATATTTATGAATCTGGGACAGCTATAATTGTTTATAAGTGTTGGTGGAACAGTCAACCTGATGGAGGGGAGAGAGCTAGTAATTAAAAACCACTCGACTGGAACATATTGTATATTAGACGGGTAGTCAAACTGGGAGTAGTCAGACAAGGAATGAACCATCCTGACAAACACACGCACGGGTAAGTCAAGACTTCACCAGACAAATACCCCGGAAGATATAGTACAAGTCAAAATAGGGAATTGTGACACCATTTAATCACCGATGTTAATTTTAACGTATGTTATATTTGGGATTACACGTTCTTAGTAAAGTACAGATTCTAGTACTTTTGGGGTTGAGTCCCATCCGGGATTAGAACCCACACCCTCAGAGTCAGGCACCTAATCGCCAGCACACATAGTCAGACGCCTAGACCGCTCAGCCACCGCGGCTTCCACAACTAAGAAAGTGTAATCCCAAATATAACATACGTTACATTTGACCACTTTCTAAAATGGTATTGTGTATTTGATGTTATATTTGTGAGTGGTTTGAATGTTTTTCTGAGGTCTTGAGTATTGTAACCTTGAGAAAAATGTTTTAAACAAGAACCGCGTGACGCTCTTTGGGACCTTTGTTAAAAGAACATACCGTCAAGCATATAGTGTTTATCAATACTGTAAAATAAAGACTGACCTGGCGTCATCTATTACGTCATGAAAAGTCAATGACATTATCCATGGTAATCAAGAATAATCTCCATGTTGTTTTTTTCTGTCAAGTATTTATCAAAAGGAATATACAGTGACCCGTGAAGAATCCGGGTAGAATTGATTAGAATTCAGTAACCCATGCTTGTCGTAAGATGCGACTAACGGGATCGGGTGGTCAGGCTCGTTAACTTGGTTGACACATATCAACCGTGCCAAAAGCTGCTATTTAATACTAAGTCGAAGGAAGCATCTTTCATATGGATAATATATATTTTTCTTATGGTGCTTTACTGTTGTGATATTATTTTGCCTCTCATAATTATTGAGAATGGTTCTCTACGATTTGTTTATGTGTGTATATATACCTTTTTCAATTGTACTATTCCAAAAAAGAAACGGCATAACCTAGAAATCTGTTGCGAAAATGTTGTATTTTCAAACATGCATAACTCGTCCATAAATAGACTTTAGTACATGAATTTTTACATCAGTTTAGAAGAAGGTAATGTCTATACAACCGGATGTCCTCCTAAGCCCAGACACCCTGGCTGCTGTGCTCACCCCCGTGGCAGTACGATCACGCAAAAGTAGTACCCGGATGTACCGATCTTGGGTAACGAGCTGCAAGCCGTGATATCGTGCTCAGACTAACATTCAGACGCCTGGCAACAGAAAATTGGTAATCTCCAGCGTGCATTCTTTCTATGGTGATGTTCCGTGTCGCAGCGTCAAGACGTGGCGTAGTGATTTGACCTTGAATTTTTTTCAAAACGGATGCCGATTATCGAAGGTAACCTGGATATTTCATAGCCAGACAGCGCATGCTCTTTGCTGCACAATTTCAACTGGAAGGTGATTTCTGTTGCGTTGTGGTGATGGCTTTTTAATTCTTGTTAGAAATCTCATCAAAATCAACATTTTCCGGTAAAGTCGATTTTTCACTTGTGCAATTGTGTAAAATCATGTTATCAACACTTCTGTTACATATTTGGACGATTGTTTGAACACAATTGGTAATTAATAGATTTTTAAAACTACAAAACGCTTATGCGTTTCTTTTTGTGGATAGTATATGTACATTATGAGATTATGATTATGAGACATTAGTAAACTATTGTCTGTCATTTTATCGTGTCCCAGCAGCATCGATCGATGGTCCAGACACGAATATTTACAGACAGCCACCATACAGCTGGAATATAGCATGGGTCACTGAAGATCAATTCTAACCCGGATCGTCACGGTGCGACGTGCATGGGGTTGTTCTGGTGGTTGTGTAGTGTGATTCACACTATTGTTTGGGTGAGTGTGTATTGAAATGCATACTATTGTTCTGTAATGTTTTAGTAAAATGCGTGGGATAGTTCTAGTGATTGTGTTGTGAGATGTATGGGATTGTTTGGATGATTGTGTGGGAAGATGTACAGAATTGATTTAGTGATTGTATATACAGCTGTATAGTATTGTTGTGGTGATTCTGTAGTGACTGTTTGGATGATTGTTTAGTCAAATGTACAGCATAGTTTTGGGAGACTGTCTAGAGAGATAGACACTCTTACCCCCCCCCCCCCCACACACACACACACACACACAAAAAAGAAAAAAGAAAAGAAAAGAGAAATGCATTCGTGATTTTGAAAATAGTTGACTCGTGTAGCTGCGGCAAAAACAATACAAATATACTATTCCTTACCAAAACGTCATCCTTGTGTTTTTGTAAACAGCTTCAGCGCCAAAACGCGGCGATTGTAACTTTTCCCTTGTTTTAGAAGCGTTTGAAGAAATATTCGACAAAACGTCACCAGGAAAACAGGCAAAATGCACGTGTAAATAAACGGAAAAGCATGCGGTATCGATCACTATGAAAAGGCAAACGTTGTTTTTAATTTTGTCAATCGTTTTTGCCTGGGAAAGGGGAAAGTGCCTACAATCGAAACATCGCCATAGGTCGCCTTGAAGCTGGGGAGTCGCAGCCTGCAGTTGCCCGACATTTCAACGTTCATCAGAGCACGATATCTCTCCTTTGGGATCGTTTCCTGTCGACCAATTCCACCCAAGATGGCCCGAGAAGCGGTCGTCCAAGAGTTACCACCCAAGTCCAGGACCGCTACATCCGGGTTGCTCACTTCCTTCATCATCTTGCCACAGCCGTGGAGACTGCACAAGGCATCCCTGGTTTGAGAAGAATTTCCGACCAAACTGTCAGGAATCGATTGTGTGAAGTAGGGATTCCACCAAGAAGGCCAGTTGTCGCCCCTGTTTTGTGAGACTGCCATCGACGGTGGTGTCGTAGAGTCCGGAACTGGAACCTTAGAAACTGGAGGCGAGTCTGGTTCAGTGATGGTCAGCAGACAAACAGTAGCAAACTTGAGAGAACAGTGAGACGTTGGCAACGTCATAATTAGCAGCGCGTCCTCTTCACCGACGAGAGAAGGCTCTGCATGTTCCATTCTGATGGCAGACAACGCACTTATCGTCGAAGAGGAGAACGCACTGTCCGTTGTTGCGGTAGGAGTGCCATGTTCAGGGGAGGTATTTTTGGTGACAAAAGGACGCCATTAGTCATCAGTGATAGGAGCTTGAATGCCGTACGCTACAGAGATGAGGTCCTGCGCCATGTCGTGCTTCCATTCCTTCGTCAACAGCTACAGGGTATCATGTTCCAACACGACAATGCCTGGCCTCAAACTGCTAACGTCGTGCAAAACGTCCTTAACGTCAACAACGTTCATGCGTTACCTTGGCCAATTTACTCTACATACCTTAATCCAATAGCGTACCTTTGGGATATCATGGACAGACAAAGTCGACGGCAACAACAACCTCCAAACACCCAGGAAGAACTCATAGCGACCCTCCACTAAGAATGGCAACGCATCCCACGTGACGTCATCAGGCGACTGATGAATTCAGTGCGTAGCAGAGTGTTTGCCTGCACTAGGGTGACGCATAACACCACCTACGGACATGTATTGAAAAACTGTTTTGTGTACCCCACATGGAGATTACCAGCCATATTTGATTCATCGTGCATTGTATTGTTTAGACTGTTTGCACAAAATATTGATGTTTACAAAACCGTTTATGTTGATCATTTATGCTTTGTTATCTTTTAGCTATCGAACTTGAAATCGAGTGCTAAGTGTCTTGTTTCTACTACTTGTTTCTGTTATTTTCTAATACAACCACTACTACTACTACAAGTACTACTACTACTACTGCTGCTGCTGTTGCTACTACTACTACTACTACTACTACTACTACTACCATTAAGATTACTACAGCTATCATTACGATTACTACTACTACTACTTCTACTACCACTACCACCACTATCTCTACGGCTACTACTACAACAGGCACTACTACTACTACTACTCCTACTACTACTACAAGTACTACTACTACAGCCACTACTACTACTACTACTACTACTACTACTACTACTACTACTTCTACTACTACTACTACTCTTCCACTACCAGAATAATTCATTCACGATACTTGCCTGGAAAAGATCGATTTGTGGCGAGGCCGGCGACAAAAGTTACTCACTGGAAGTATTCCCTGATTTTACGGACACTTCTTTCATTATGACAATACAAAATACAATACAAAATCCGCACTTCGGACCCTCCTCACACGTGATGGCATGAATCATTTTTTAAAATGAAACAAGTAGGTTAAATCCGACTAATTTGCTCAGATATTTATACGTCCGCGACGAGCGGACGCTTTAACCACTAGGCTACCCAACGGCCCCTTCCCGGAATGAACTTACATTGATTTGTTGAAACAGGTTGATTCGAGACTGCAGTCTAAGTGAAAGGCTGGTTTTACCCTTGCATGTTCACTACAGTAATTACTAGGATGCTGAAATGAAAGATAAACTCACTTGGATAAAACACGAAAAACAACATAAGCTGAGTGGAGGGTATTCGGAGTGAGTCACGTCATCTGCTTTGGGAATATGACGGTTACAAGTTGCAATCCCGTGATTGACATCATGAGCATCGATCTACGCAATTCCGATACAATGTATCATCCAAGTAAAATGAGTCTGACCACCTAAAGTGCCCCTTTTCGGGAAGAACGGGTTGCTGAAGACCAATTCTAAGTGATTGGAGACACGCATGGGTTTCTGCAATTCTAGCAAGCTGAAGGCAAGCCACAGGCCAATTGTAACCCGCATGTTCACGGATTGAAACAGGTATGGGTTGCTGAAGGCCAATTCTAACCCGGATGTTCACGGGTGGAGACAAGTATGGGTTGCTGAAGACCAATTCTAACCCGGATGTTCACGGATTGAGACAAATATGAGTTGCTGAAGACTAATTCTAACCCGGATGTTCACGGGTGGAGACAAGTATGGGCTGCTGAAGACCAATTCTAACCCAGATCGTCACGCGTGGAGACAAACACAGCACTATAAACCTGGCACACACAGACACATACTTTCATGTACGTCGCTATAAAAATGAAAGCATCTTGAACCCCACGTTATTCCCCATTTCACATCCCCGTCACTGTTTTCTTTGCTTCTTTTTCCATCAACCGTGGATAAATTAAATAGAAATATTGAAACCAATATTGGAAATCTGAAGAGATGTCTGTTGTTGAACGTCGCAGTATTTCCTATATAATATATAGTATAATCGTGTCTTTGACCAGAGGGGCGGGTGGGGTAGCCCAGTGGTTAAAGCGTTGGATCATCACGCCGAAGACCAGGGTTCGATTCCCCACATGGGTACAATGTGTGAAGCCCATTTCTGGTGTCCCCCCTCCGTGATATTGCTGGAATATCACTCACTCACTCACTCTTGACCAGAGAGACCCGGGTTCGATTCCACCCATGGTTACAACTTGTGAAGCCCATTTCTGGTGTCCCCCGATGTGATATTGTTGGAATATTGCTAAAAGCGGCGTAAACCATACTCACTCACTCACTCTCTCTGGACCAGTTAATCCAGTGTAATCTAGAGTATTTGTGCCAGGTGATAAATTAATGGAAGCGTACGTAAAATATTCACAACGCAATTCCGAACTTATTGATTTTCAAGTGTTTGCTTATTCGTCAGGCAAAGTAATACATTAAATGCGATCTCTACTTGGATTATATGTTCTGTTTAAAACTGCTTTAACAGCGCAGATACCTTTAAAACATTTCGAGACCTTTGAGGTTTTTGATTTAATGGACTCTAATAATCTTTTTGCCACATCATTGGAGTTTCTTGGTGACAATCTATACCACTCAAATAAATAGTGGGATCCCACACAAGTTACACTGGACGTAAGAGGTACCAACAAGGATCGGGGGATCAAGGCTTGACTGAGTGTCAGTTGAATATTTACTGGCCGCCATCAGGTTGCTGGGTTATAGCCGAGGGTGGCGATCTTGAGCATGGTCAAAGGGAGACAACTCTTGCTATTTTTTCTTTCATTCCCCATCATGTTTCAATGTCATCCATTCAAAGGCAGATGTCAAAGTTGAGTCGAGACGCTTCTCATCATCGACATTTTATGTGTTTCTAATGTCCACCCGCAACCAGCAATACCACTGAAAAAGGATAACACATATTTTAAAAATACAATAAGAGACATGGTTTTTTTTGCAACATATTTTGCAAAAATAATTTTTGAATTGATTCTTGATGCAGATCAGTCCGGTTTTCTTTGGAAACCATTTTTGATAATCGTAGATAGACCAAGGACAAGGTGATCTGTGTTTCTTAAGCGTGTTCATGGTTAAGGGTATATCTAATTATGTGTATCACATCTAGGCATGCGCAGTGAAGTAGCCTAGTGGATGGAGCGTTCGCTCGTAACGCAGAAGACCCGGGTTCGATTCCCCATTTCTGTTGTCCTCCGCCCTGGTATTGCTGTAATATTGCTAAAAGAGGCATAAAATAAACTCACTCACACATCTGGAAATAAATGTTCACAGAGGAGCAGAAGCCTGAGATAGATTAGTTTTTATTATTTCACATCGACATAATTCATGGCAGGTGGGAGATGGGGAAAAAGACATGTATACAATTAGCCTAATAACAACACTTGTCTTAATAACATAAACTTTACCTTTTCTAACTCATGCTAGCTCTCGGAAGCGCAACCGATGAGAGGGGACGGTGGGGTAGCCTAGCGGTTAAAGCGTTCGCTCCTTACGCCGAAGATCCGGGTTTCTGGTGTCCCTCGCCGTGATATTGCTGGAATATTGCTAAAAGCGGCATAAAACTGACTCACTCACGCAACCGATGACATAAACTGAAGCAAACCTAAAATATTCACATTCCCATTTCTAA